ATACACTCTGGATGGATTTTCTCAGCTCAGAAAAAGTTATCACTTTACTAAATGTTTTTGTGAGTTCTCATTTAATGTGGTTGAATATTTCCTTTTGCTCACTCTCTCTCCCTCTCCCTTCTCTCTACCTTACATTTACTGGAAATGAAAAGGAAAACCCATGAGGTGTAGTCCCTCAGAGGTCCTTGTGCCTACCCATGTTTGTGCTTCATTTCTACCATAGTGACAAGACTTAGAAATATGACAGGACTTAGAAACTCTTGGTAGACCATAAGGTAAGAGTTTCTGTCAAGAATGGAGATAGAGGGACGCCTGGGTGGCTTAGTTGGTTGGACGACTGCCTTCAGCTCAGGTCATGATCCCAGAGTCCTGGGATCGAGTCCCGCATCAGGCTCCCAGCTCCATGGGGAGTCTGCTTCTCCCTCTGACCTTCTCCTTGCTCATGCTCTCTCTCACTGTCTCTCTCTCAAATAAATAAATAAAATATTTAAAAAAAAAAAAAAAGAATGGAGATAGAGGGGTACCTGGGTGGCTCAGTCAGTTAAGCACCTCACTTTGTCTCAGGTCATGATCTTGGGGTCCTGGGATTGAGCCCCACATCAGGCTCTCTGCTCAGGAGTCTGCTTCTCCCTCTCCCTCTGCCCCTCCTCCTCTGCTTGTGCTCTCTCTCTCTCTCAAATAAATAAATAAAATCTTTTTTTAAAGTGGAGATAGAAGGACTATAGAATTATAAATTTGCAAAAGACCTTCAAACTCATAAAATCCCTCTGCTCTTCAACATCTTGACAGAAGGACTCTGCTGAAAGCCCCCAACTTTACTGCCCCACCCTGGTTTACAAACAGAAAAGCATAGCAATGGGGTGTTATACCAACCCATGATATGGTCATCTCTTATGAATAGTGGTCACGCCTCAGTTATTCAGCAGGGTTCTTTCTCTGAACCCCTATGGTACCTTGTACCTGTTCAGACACTTAAGACTTATTCTACTTTTTATTATGGTTATTTGTGGGTTATCCCATCCCCGCTGGGTCATAAACTCCTTGAAAGCAAGGATTTTGCAATACCCAACGATTTTCACATACCCTACAACACTTAAGATGGTGCATCTTAAAAATGGCAGGTAACAAAAGTTGTGTTTGATTTTTAAAGTGACTTGTTTTAAAACTGAATTCCATCTTAGTTCTACAGGAAGACTATCCTGATTAGAAATTATTTTGTCAGATATTAGGGAGGGTTTTTGCTATGGTGAATGCTACAAATTGTGTAAGACTGATGATTCACAGACCTGTACCCCTGAAACAAATAATACATTATATGTTAATTAAAAAATAAGGCCAATACTAATACAAATAATACACATATTTCCTGCTGATAAAAAAACTAAAAAAAAAGAACTTATTTTGTCACCATAGATTTAAATTTCCTTAATACTCTCTTAATAGTTAATCCATAATTTGTTGAATGAATTTATGAGTGAATGAGTCCACGAACAAGGCTCATGGAAGGGGCTACTCTGTTTCCCTGTGAAGTTAGGGCAGCATTGGGAGAATGCTTTATTATGTGACCCTCACTCTCCTGTTTCAGCCTAGTATTGCTGATACAAAGGTGTCATCATCACCGTTAGTCCAATACTGATGTAACCTGAACTTTTGCTCTGTGTAATCACAGATCTGGGTGAATTTCTTAGAAAAGAACAGTCCCTGAACTAAACTGTCAAGTAGACAAAGTATAAATTGGGCCTCTTCCATATTGTCAAGAGCAAGGGAGGCCCTAACTCTCTTCTGCCTCTTTTATCCTGACCCCCTCCCCCACTGCACCCTCTGTAGCAGCACCTGGTAAACCCTGCCACAGAATTATAGGACCTTCAGGCTTGCCTATGTTATACTTCTTCCTACTCCATTCATGCACCCTGAATGATCTGTTACCTTCCTTCCCAGAAGCTCTGTATAAATATATCCTAATCCAATGGGACAAAGCCATAAAGGGGTCATTTGAGGCTCTAATAATAAGCCAGTGACCTTCAATAAACTTTGCTCTTTAAAGAAGTAGTTATCATTAAGATTCTGTGCAAGTAACAGTTCCATGGTTACATTGACTTAACCAACGTGGAAGTTCATTTCTCTCTCACATACAAGTCCCAAGATACATAGTTCAGAGCTGCTGAACTATTAGCTGACCAGAGCAGCTCAGGTATCAAGGCTCCTTCTAATTTTCTGTTTCACCATGCTTACAAGTGTGGCCCTCATCTACATGGCCCAAGATAGCTGCTGGAGTATCTTAGAACAGCACTCCTGCCAGCTGGAAGATTTTTAAGAAGAAAAGGATCCATGCTGGTTGTCTTTTTAGGAAGGATCCCAGAAGCTGTATTGTGAAACTTTTACTTACAGTCCACTGTCTAGAATTTGAGCAAATGATCACACATAGCTTCAAGGGAGGCCGGGAAATATAATCAGATGAAAATAAATGTTTCCATTATCATGGAAGGAGGGAGAATGGATATTGGGCAATGAAAAGGAACCCCTGCCAGAAGGACCATCCCAGAAATCTTTAAGTCATATCACGTAGATGCTCACATATGCCCTGCAAAAAGCAAAGGTGGTTCTTCTGTCAGCCAGAGAAAGATGCCAACTCTGGCAGCATCACTTAATCAGCTCTGTGATCTCTGAACCTTTTCCCATGCTAGCAAACGTGGGAATAATACCTCCCACTTAGGTTCTTATAGGATGATGTAAGATGACTGGTGATGCATAGCACAGTGTCTGACACAGAGTAGATGCTCAGTCAACATTTATCATTATTATTAATATTATTATTATCATTCTGCTCACATATGAGATCCCGATCTGCTAAGTTCCAAGCTTTAGACCAAGTTGGGCATGACAACATTAATAAATCTCCTGGTGGTCATGTTTCTTGAATAATTTCACATCCTATCCATTAGCCAGATGTGTTAGAGCAAATGAATGACTGCTCAAGAGAGTGTCTTTATCCTGAGTTGTCCTTTTCTTTCTGTCTTTGTTGGATGGTGTCAAACAAGACAAAAGCAATAAATAAACTTCTAAGCACTGCAAGAGATAATAATTAGAATCAGCAGTACTCAAAAAGGAGCCTAAAATGATGGAGGGGATAGTGGGCTTTTTAGAATACAAAGAGTATTCATTGCCATTTCACTCTGTTTATCAGGTCAAGCAAACTACTGTGGAAAGTCACTCTGGAAAAGGGTAAAGAAATATATACACTGCTTTGGCACTGCCCACTATGCCAAGTAAATGGGTTAAGAGGTATATCAAGTAAATGGGTTAAGAGGTATACTGGGCTTTATTTTCCTCTCTTCCCTACTAAGTTCCTCTTAGAAGATGCTCTAAGATGCACTAGTTCCTCCCATTGTGTTCTATCTAGTCAGGAAGTTGATATTCTGATTGAAAAGTACTGTAATTGAATGATTTGGTACTTGCGCAGACATGAGTTTAAATCCTGCCTTGGCCACTTAATAACTGGGTTATCTTGAGAAATATTATTAGACTTTTCTAAGCCTTGGTGTTTTCAACTCTGAGATGAGGATAATAATGGTGTTCATCTCATAGGATTGTTGTAATAATTAAATGAGATAGTACATGTATAAACCAGATGTCCCCAGGTTTTCTGGTCTTCTTGGGTCATACATTTATCCACTATCTACATAAAATGGCTTGTGACCCCTTTCCACATTCCATGCCCAATAGCTCTGAATATTTGGGGCACCAGACTTTTCCTTAGTTGACTCCACAGTTTGCTTCCCCACTATTTCCTACTCCTATTTGTCACTCTTGACTACTGAAACTGCCTTTTTCTATCACCTGCTCCCTTTGCTCTAGCCCTTCAAAAGATGAATCAAGGGTAGGAAAATACTAGAGCCAGAAGAGTCATGAGTGCCTGGAATTTTGCAGAAGCCCTGAGAGATATGATAAATAAGACTGGATACAATATATTGCATACCTGGATAAAGGGGGAAAAGAAGAGCAAGTAAACAAAGGTAATTGTAAAATTTTGAGTCTGGATAAGCAGTAGGATGGTGGTGCAGACATGGACAAGTCCAAAGGAAGATTTGACTTCAGTTGACTTTAGTCAATGGCAAAGATGTTGACTTTGGTTTTAGAGATACTGAATCATAATGGTGCATTCAGGAGACAATTCCCGTGGCTCATTACTAGTGCTGGTCCAAAGCTCAGAGAGGCAGCAGCCCAAGGAAATAGGTTTGGAAGTTTCCTTGTACACATGATAGCCAAAGCATGACCCCCCTCACCTGAATATTTAAATTTTAAGGTTTTTTTTTTTAATAAGAAGGAAGAAATAAAATTGTCATTTTGGAGTCTCAAAAGAACTGAGCATCATCCAGTTACATTACAAATGATCTCCCAAAAAATGCATTCCTTTAGACCAGCAACTGAGTTTTTAGTCATTATTATTTTTCTAACCAAAATTTAGAATTATAGAACTCAAAACATTTTTGATTTGGAATAAACTACATTTGGAATAAGCCCTAAAATGTTCCTGGTCCAAATGCCTCACTTACATATGGGGAAATTGCCCTTCTAGAGACCCTATGTGACCTATTCTTGTTCATTCATGCCGGACAGTGATGCCAGGTAACTATAACCTACTAGTAGAATTTCTGTTCTTCCTTGCTCATTTTTTTCAGCTACTGTTCAGCTACCAAAGGTATGTTTTTAGAGATTTTACCTGATGAAAAATTTTCTTTCCAACTGAAGTACAAACACAGATAGTGAGGAGACAGTGTAGAAAAAGGAGTCGGAGGGCCTGGATTTTAGTCCCATACAGAAAGAATTAGCTATGTAACATGGAGACAGTCATTTAATTTTTCAAGATATCAGTTTCTCAGTTGAGTAGCAAGGAGATTGGTCTGAATTAGCTCTGAAATGACTTGCAGCTCTGATGTTCCTTGATTCTTGGAGGTATCAACTGTCTTCAACTGGATCCACATTTTCTAATCCCACACAAGATGGAGAGCGGGCCCATTCCAGTATTTGGGGAGGCCCATCAGGACAAGAACTGGCCTCTGTCTGTGGGGGCTGGAGAGGGGAAGCAGCTGAAGCAACACTATCAGTTTCCTTCCCATTCAGAAGAGAACAATCGAGCTCCTCCCAGGGGAAACCATTCGGATTTTGACAGTGTGGGGTCTGTCTTATGACGGGAATGAAGGATTACTGTAGAATGGGGGTGCTTAGCGGCTGTGATTCTGAACACAAAATCAAAGATGGAAGGAAGTCCAAGAGGTCCTTAGGTCCAGTCCCCTGTTTCTGTCTAAGCCTTCCAAGGCAGATGGTTGTCATCCTACATTCAAAGATCTCCAGGGCAGCTTCCCACAGCGCCCTGGGTCAGAATGTTTCCCCTTTACAATCAAGAAATTCTTCCTGGTATTTAAGTAGAAACACTTTCAGTATAGCACTAGTCTGTTTACCCTTGTCTAGTCCTCAGTGGAGATGAGGAACAATATCCCATGTGAAAATAACACTTCTTATACCTGACAGTGGTAAATAAGTCAACTATTAGCTTTTGGTGGGTGGGGGGGGCGGTGTGTGTCATTTTCCATCCCGTTAATCTTTTTTGTTCTTTTTGTTCTTTTTTTTCTTTTCCTTTCCTTTTTTTCTTCTTTTTTTTTTTTCTTTTTACTCCTAGCTGGATTCTTTCCAGCTTCTCCAAATGAGTCTTAAAATAGGAGGATGAAATCTGAGTTCCCACTCTAATTAAAACCTCAGCAATGCCAAGTTTTGTAGAAGGATTACTCTCTAGGCTTTCATTTCATAATTCTCAACATATGCCTGCCTCATATTACAATTTTGTTGTAGTACTTTGCCACTGACTTGGGGCCCATAGCTATTTACCTTTAGTACTTGTTTCTGCCAGTTGGAGCGCATTTTTATCCATTTTAAACATCTTCCTGCTTTTAATGACCTCCCCCTTTCTACGTTGTTAAAGGTCACTTTAAATTCTAATCCTTCCTTCTAATATTTGAAGATCTTTTCCAGGCTTAGTTCAATCTGAAAACATTCTAATCTATTATTTCATTGAGAAAGGAGTCTCAATTTTCTCCCAATACTCACAAGCATGGTTTGAGCATGAAAAGCATTGCAGACCACCCTTCTCCAGTCTTCTATTCAACAAACATCTTTTCAAGCACCAATGGTAGGCACTGAGAATACAGTGATGGATAAATCATAACTTCTTTATCCACCCAGTAACATATACATACAATGTATACAAAATGTACTCATGAAGTACTCACTCTTTGCAAACCTGTGGTGGGTATAGGGACTATGACAGTGAACAGGACATATAAGGCTCTTACCTTTGTGGATCTCACATTCTAAGGGAACTAGAGGAAGAGGGAGACAAAGTACAAGTCGAAAAATATGTCAAATCTTGATAAATGTTCTAAAAGAAACAATGGGATGATAGACATCATAGTGGTGGCTGTCTTAGAGGGGGTAGACAGGAGAGACCTCCCCAAGAAGGGAACTCTGAAGACCTTGCAACTTAGCAGAGTTCTGCTATTCTGAACCAATCCTCTTTAGCAAACCAAACCCTCCTCATGGCCTCTTCTCTTAGACACAGAAATAACTTTTGGGGGATGTTAATGGTGGATAATGCACTGTTCCTTAGTAGTTATTTACATTTCCAATTATTTACATTTCTATCATTCATGTTCTTTAATCAAAAGGAACGGTAAATGAATTTCAGGATATAGGTACCTTAGTTACATAGGAAGTTAATAGACATTCCTGGAAAACAAGGATCCAGTGGTCCCTTAGGTATGGAGAGAATGGAATTCAATACCATCCCATAAATTTCTTCACTGCAGGGTTTCTCATAGCCTTGAATAGGTTGATGAACTTTAGGACTCTCTCAAATGGGATGTTTACAGCTGTTCCCTAAGCTTTGGCATGAAATCTGTGATAGAATATTTTGTGATGAATGCTGGGCTTAGGAGATGTCTTGGATCCTTTGGTGACTTTTGACACTGGGTTTGGCATTAAGGATATGATTCTAAATCATAAGCACCCAGTATGCAGGCTAGCCTCGGATGTTTCTGAATGGTATGACAGGGGTAAAAATGAGCTTCTCCATGACCCTGGGCCTGTACTTCTCTTGTTCCTACAGACCATGGGGCATTTTGAGAGTCTTTTGAGTGTCCTGAATTTCCTCTTTCCAGGAAAATATGCAAACATACATAATCACACTCATGCGGAGGGTTCACAGGTCTACAAAAATGCATGCATGGACTAGAAGATTTCTAAGGATCTGTTCAACGTTAAAGTTCTAAGTTTCTGCTTTCAGATCATACTGACCTCTCTGTTCATGTTTTTTATTAGCCTGTGGATTTCTTGAAACTGGTTGTTTTACCTCTTCCCAGACTCGTTCGGCCTTGGTGGAGTGCTCAGTACGCAAAGGATGCTAATTATCTGTGTGCCTGTGGTCGCCTCCCCAGAGGGTCCTGCGGTGGCTGCTGCCTGAGAAACAGCCAGGGAGAGTGGGGAGACACCCCCCCAACAAAGAAGTACCAACCAACCCTGGGGATACCCAGTTGGCTTCCCAATTAGTGAATGAGATCATTTTCCTTCTGATCTTTTCCAGAAATAGATCCGTGAAGAAGGCGTACACTGAAATGACCTAGCAAGGCAATGAGAAGGAAGTGACTAGAAAGGGAATTATTAAAAACCCAACTTCTTCTTTAAAAGGGAAATGGAAACAGGGACCTGGAAGAGGGTTATAACTGCCAAGCCAGCAGTGGCTCCTGCTTTCCTCCCCATGCTCCCAATATGGATTTCCTGCCTGCAGGGTACCATTTGATTTAGAGCTATGGGAGCCTCACACACACTCTCATGAGAAGGGCTTGGAAAAGAAATAGAGCAGCATTTGCCCTCTCCCTGCCACTTCTGTATGAAGGCAGTTAGATTGATTAACCCTGTTTCCTCAGCAGGATTGATCCTGATACTTGCTTGAGAAATTGTGATGATTATGTGTAGCCTGACTGACAAATAACAAATTATGATTTCTTTTTTACAAAACTGAATGTCCTCTGGTTTATATAACCACCTTGATTCTATAGGCAATCATCAGTGGCATACTTCCCTTTCACTCTCCTTTGCCATGAGTTTTGAATGATCTATGAAAGGATGTTTTGATGATGTGGTCCTGAAGGTGTGCCAAAACCCCACCCCATCTTTTTGGCTTCTCTGCTTTACCCAGGGTGGTTGTGAAGGGTGAAGTCATAGAAAAGGTAGATTTGGGTCCTTAGGAAGTCTGTCTTCTGAAGTAAGTTTTACAATTGAGCAGATTGCCTTGAATACCCACCTGATAATTTTGAAAGCCTAAAAATAAATTGAACCTGGTACTTAGAAAAGGTGGCTTTCAATATTAGAGGACGTCCCTGTGTTTCTAGCTTTCCATGTGATCGGGGAATTTGTTAAGGCTCTAATTTCCTTCCTTGCGACCTGGCTTGTCTTCAGGTGCTAGCTGGAAGTCAGAATGACACAGACTGTGCAAATAAAAAATGCAGGGAAGGGGAAAAGGTCAACATGTGTTTTTCGTTTCAGTTTAGTTTCTTATTTTGGAGGGTTATTTTTTTTCCTTCTTGCAATAAAACTGGTCCTGCTACCAGACTAACATATGGATATTTTTATTAGGCAATTATCAAAAGAGATATCAAACATTTCTGGAGTTTTTAATGTGTAAGAGGTCTTTCCCAGAACTCCTGTCCTCATTGGCCCTTTCCTTCTTGCTAGTGTTCTACTAAATCATATATTACATACATATATTGGAAGTCTACATCACACAGAGGCATTGGCCTTGGCATCATCTGAAAACTAGTTGGAAATGCACATTCTCAGGCATCACCTCAGACCTACTGTAACAGAAACTCTGAGGAGGGTGGGGGCCAGTGATTTTTTTGTTTGTTTGTTTTGTTTTTGTTTTTTTTTTTAAGATTTTATTTATTTATTTGACAGACAGAGATCCCAACAGGCAGAGAGGCAGGTAGAGAGAGAGAGAGAGAGGAGGAAGCAGGCTCCCCGCTGAGCAGAGAGCCCAATGCGGGACTCGATCCCAGAACCCTGAGATCATGACCTGAGCTGAAGGCAGAGGCTTTAACCCACTGAGCCACCCAGGCGCCCCGGGCCAGTGATGTTTTAACCAGCCCTCCAGAAGATACTCATGTAGGCTCAAGTTGGAGAAGCCTTGATGTACATTATTGTGCAACTGCCCACCTCCTGGGTGCACACCGGATGCTTCAGGAACCCAGGCAGTTTTATACTGAAATCCATCCTTGCATGGAGATTAGTAGAGACAAATTGTGGGGCGAGGTGGTGGGTGGGAGGGGGAATTTTACTATCTGAAATCAAAGGAACTAACAGATTCGTAAGTCACTTGAATTCTCAGTTTTCTCATCTACAAAATGGGAATGGGAGTTATTCCCATTTTGTAGCTCCCAACTCTGTCTTGTAGGGTTGTTGAAATGACTAAAGGACAGAATGTATGTGAATGTGATTCCTGAACTGCAAGGCACTCTATGCAGTTAGCTCTAGAGTTAACTATACAAATCAATAATGCTGAAGTGTATTATGAACTGCAGGCTCCTGGGGAGTAGGAGAAAGGGGCAGGGTTGCAGGCAGGGACTGCGTCTCCTTTGTCCTCATCAGTATTCTGAACCCTGAGTCCAGACAGCATAATGGCCATTCATTGACTTTTTGCTGAATAATTATAACTCATATTTGGTAAATGTTTACTCATGCAATCATCAAATAACCTTTGAGGTGGGTACTATTTGTATCCCCTTTTGTGGATGAGGATTGAGATGTTAAGTACCTTACCCATGCCCACATAGTTAGAAATGGTGGAGCCAGCATCTGAATTCAGGCAAACAGGTTCTACAACTCTAACTTCCCTGCACAACCTCACAACTAATCCATGAGTAGTGATGCTAAGGATGGTGATGAGAGGAGACATTTCATGTTTGCTCTGTGCTGCTCACTGTTCCAAGTTCTCTTTGTGCCTTACCTCATAACAACTTGAGAGAGGTACATACTATTATCATTGCCCTTACTAATACAATTTATTTTTGTAAATGATCTGAGGAAGTAGAAAGCTATTTCAATGAAGGCATTTACTGCTACATTAGTTAAAATAAACAGAGACACAGAGACTAGTCTTGATGTTGGATTTCTTCTGACCAAGATAAAAATGCCTTCATATTGCACCTCTATGCATACTGTTTGTTCACTTGACTTACCAATCCACTAATCAATAAGCTTTTATGAAGTGCCTCAATAGTGCCCAGTGCTGTCCTTCTAGACACAGAAATATGAGACACAGTTTCTGCTCTTAATATGCTTCAAATCAAGTTGGGAAAATGTGTCAACCTTCATAAAACAGAAAATAAAGGCTAAATAGGTAGTTAAATGCTGGTTATGATGTATAAAGTAATCATTTTACACCTTCAGAGAGGTTGGTGGAAATGAAGTCCTCTGACAGGAATTTTCACAAGGGTCTGAAGGAAACTCCTATTGTTAGACTCAGACTTCAGTTGATCTGGGCAACTGTCATTGAACTGTTTATTTCAGCATCCCTGCACACATTCTCCTTCCAGGCTATCGCAGTAATCAGGATTACTAAGGGAATAGTGACCTGTTACCCCATTTTTATCTGTTTTGTTGACTTATCCTCAGTACTGAGAGCCATATCTGGAACATATTTGGTGCTCCATAAACATCTGTGATTAAATGATAATAAGCAGGAGAAGAATAATGTGGGAGAAGGAGGATAGATATAGTTTGCCAAATTTGGGGCTGGATGGGGAGGCCAACGGTCAGGGATACTACTCCCCAAACGTGGGTGAGGCAAGAGCCTGGCATTCCATGTAGAACTTGGGTTCAGAAGGAGAACAGGAACAGAGACTTTTGTTATTTACAATACAAATTCCCCTGCTCCATACACTGGGGCGTGATGTTGTCTGGCCTCCTTGAAGTCCCTCTCTCCTCACCTTAGAGAAGAAACCTCATATGTACTTGGTAATTTTGAAAGTTGAGAACCAGGGTCTCTTGTCATCAATTTCATTTTCCCTGGTTTTATTTCTACTTAGCAAACTTTTGGATGCCAAGCCCAAGTCTTGGTTACACCCCATGTTTCCTTCAGAGGAAACTGTACTAGTAATTGAAAACAGAAATTGGTTCTTTTATTCTAATTCGTGGGATGCAGGTAAGATTCCTGTTTGTGCTCCACCTTGGCTGTGTCTTTTCTAATCCTGGGAAAATATCTGGATATAATTCTCTGTTTTAGTCCTTTGGTCTTTCCTTTACATCTTTATGCAAAAATCAAGGTCTTTCATCAAGATTGGGTTGTCTGACCATATCTTTTGAGACTTAATAATTCCACTCCTGGGAATTTATTCTTTATTTTAAAAAGATTTTATTTATTTATTTGTCAGAGAGAGAGTGCCCATGCACAAACAGGGGGAGCTGCAGACAGAGGGAAAAGCAGGCTCCCCACTGAGCAAGAAAGGAGACTGAGGAGGGACTTGATCCCTGAACCCTGGGACCATGAACTGAGCCACTTAAGGCAGCCACTTACCTGACTGAGCCCCCCAGGCATCCCAACTGAGAATCTGATCTTACAAATGATCTCAAAGAGTAGAAGATGTGTACACAAAAATAATGCTAGATTAGTTAAAATAATGATAAAACCAGAAATAGCCTAAATGTCTAGTAACAGGAAAATGGTTAAAGAGCTAAATGATGAAAAATCCACTCAAAATATTCTGCTGCTTTAAAATTATAATTATGAAGATTATGTAGCAATGTGGAAAATGCTTGCAATATAATGTTAAGCAAAGAAAACAATATTGCATTAAATTTAGGCTGTGACTATAGCTATGTCAAAATGATGTGCGCACCTGGATGAGAACTAGAAATAAATGTTTAAGTGAAGATATTACTTGTTTCTCAACAAATAATCAAGATTATGGGTAAAATTTCTTTATTTCAATTTCTTCCGAAGTTGTTATAACTTTGGTAATTCAAAAGAATTGGAAACAAGATGGTCCGGCTGCTGCCCCATCTGGAACTGGAAAGAATCACAGTGTATGGGGTGAGATGTGAGCATCCCATACCCAGCTATACCCCAAACTGCGGGATTGCATAGACCTCTCTCAAGGGCAAAGGCCATGCATGGCATTCCTTCTGACAACTGTCTAGAATACCTAGTGTAAAACTGTCCACAGCACATGCTCAAACCATGGGGTTGGCTGACATAGATGGCCCCACCCACATCCTTCATGGATATTAGCATAACATGTCTTTGAGAATCTCAGTAACAGTTACAACTTCAGAGTTTTTCCTTACCAGGGATTTCTCCCATTTTCACGGTGTCCTCAGTTGAAGGGAACTGGCTCTGCAACTTTCTAACTGTATGATTTGGGTCAAGTTACTTAACCTTACCAAGCATCAGTTTCCTCATACGTAAAATGGATATAGTAATAATGCCTACTCCATGTAGTACTGTAGGATATAAATGAAAAAAAAATAGGAAAATACTATTTGCTATAGTAGTTTAATAGAAAGCACTCAACGAAAGGAAGCTATGGGTAATGTTTTTATTGCAAAGGCCCCCATTGTTCTAAATGTCAAAGAAATAAGTTTAAATATAAAATCAACAAAAGAATGAAATGCTGCCTTTCACTCTCAAGAGAAACTTATGTTTATTGGAAAAGTTTGCAACTTCATTTGATTGTATCTTTGGGTCTTATTATAGTTCTTTCTCTTCCATTGGCTAACCAGTATCCTCTGGGTTTGAGTCTTGTCAAGTGTTCTTGCTGCAGGGAGGTACTGTCTGCACTAGAGTATTTAAATCATGTTAGGGAGTTTAACTAAGCATCCAACCAGGTAGCATGGTTGAGCATAGTAACTCTGACATTTGCAGAAACGCATAATTTCAGGCCAGATAGAAGGCTAAGAGAAAGAGGCACTGCTGGTGATGCCACAGATGACTAACCCAGATGAGGGAGATGGGAAGTATGGGAAGCCAAGAGCAACAGCCAAGGACAAGAGAGGAATTTGGTTTGAAAGGAGAGTGTTAAGACATCAACAGCCTGAAAAGAGAAGTCCAGGGTAATTTGTGGCCTGTTGAGTACCAGGAAAAAAGATGTGGCAAAAGAAGGCACAGATGTTGTGAAGAATGCAAGGAATTTATGACGATTCATAGTCTAACTCCGGGAAATGTCTGCCAAGGGCAGATCTCAGTGGACCGTGGGAGCATTGGTTCAGTGAGAAGATATGTAAAGACTAGGACTTCACAAGTGACCTTTACCAGAGTATCATCTTGAACCACAGCAAAGGAGGAGGAGGAGAGGAGGAAAACAAGAAGTTGTTTGAAAAGAAAAATAAATGTCAGCAAGTCTTTAGAAGTAATTAAAGTGTTTCTAGGCCAACAGCCCCCTTTTTCCTATCATTCTTTTCTTTAAGAAGTCCTCATCAATGACATGAACTCTGAGTTTAGAAATGAGGATGTATGCAGCTCTCTCCACATTCTCTTATCAGAATCCATACAACTCAGTCAAAGAGCTTTACTTCTCTCCTCTCACCCCAAGTACATAGAAGTTGCTACAAGACCTTGAGGATCTTGAGGAACTGAAGGTTTCTATATGCAGTTTTTATACAAATACACATCTAATTGACATATTGGAGATTACGGAGACCATAGCTATCAAGAAGTCAATGGACTTGATATTCTCCTTTCTCATAGGTGTGAGAGGCTTGGTGTGGGGTTACAGGGAAGAATATACTTTCTGGAAAGCTGGGAAGAGAAAATGGAGACTGCCCTGCTAAAAGACTATGCATCAAGAGAGATCTGTTAGCCCTCACTTGGGCCTTCACTTCCTGCCGGAGTTAAGACAAAGTTAATTTGCTTAAATATTAGTATAATCAGTGCCTCCATGCAACCTTCCCAAACCCAGATCTGAGCCACAGAGAGCAGACAGAAGGCAAGTGTTAAAGGAAATAAAATGTCCCACAAGCAATATCCTGTCCCAATATGACACATTAGTCCTCAGGTTACTTGTTCCCAATGAGGCTAATGAATTCCCCAATCATGGATAAACTGAAAAACAACTTCTGGGGCAACTGTCTCTAGTTCTCAGAAAGTAAATTCATGGAGATGAACGACTGGATAGAAGGCCAAGAGGCCACTGCCTCAGAGTGGAATCCCAGAGCAGAGCAGTGTGGTCATTCACAGCATGTTTGACTATGTGAGGAAAAAAATAAAAAGAAAGGAGTTTGGTTTCTCTTTTGTGATTTTGAATATCAAAGATGAAAGTATTTTTCTTTGCTGAATTTAGTAAAATAAGAAAATCAGAGATTTTTATTAGTTGAGAATAATATTTGCTAAATAACATTTGTAAGTTTTAAAGAGGTAGGCATGCTATCGGTCTTAGATGAAATTAAATTAAGAACAATATTTATCGTGGACACAAGCCACAACTTAACCACATGTCTCCCTCTCCTTATTCATAATTTACTTCTTCAATTCAGAAAAATAATATTTGGGGGAAGAAGATTAGGATGAGTGGGTGGTTAAAAGCTTACAGGCTTAGTGATTGCCAGATTGCTAAGAAATCTCTTTAGTTGACCTTAAGTTTGCTATGATGTCCAAAGATGTATGAAATTCTAAAATACAATAATTTGAGGAAAGCCCTTCAAGTCTATTGGTCATGTTTAAATAATCAAATATTAAGAGAAAAGGGAGAAAAATTATAGCAGCAAAATTCCATTGAAAGAAAAGAAATAAAAGATGGTCTCATGAGTCCAGAATTTAGCTGAAAGTTCCTGAAATAATATAATAACTCTAAATGAACTCTTCAGTCTAATCTGCATACCTGCTTGGTATTTTGATAAATAATACTACAACCTGAGAACTCCTTGTACAGATTTTAAAATTTTAGTAACCTTAGTATTAGTTTATTTTACCAAAAAAGGAGGTGATGTTTGAAAAACCATGTTTATAGTGGTCATCTTCTAATTTTATCCACTGGGCAGATGCTGGGTACCAATTGCAGAGATGATGACCTGCCTGGAAGCCCATTCACTTTATCAGAGATGAGACAGCATATGGTTGTAGCTGGAATTTTCCAGGGAAACTATGCGTGTGTTCCCCTGGAAGGAACTGAATTATCTCACAGAGGATTCATATACACAGACACCAAGGAAACCAGTGAAATAAAAAGTTGGCCATTCTGAGGGCTACAAGTTTAGCATTCTGGCCGACAGTATGAGCAACCCTCCCAGGGCTTGTCTGCTTATTCATTTTTTGAAGATGCAGCTTTGTAAAAAGTAATGGTAAAAGACTGTGCCCATGATTTCACACTAATTTTCATTTCCAAGTGCCCACACAAGTGAAGGCCATCCCTCACCTATTTCTCTAAGCCTTCAGGACCCTGGTTTCCACAATGTAGTTTGATTCTCTACTGTTTCAACAGCCCCAATAAATGACTCCCCCTATTACCCTCTTTCTAATTCACACCTGTATCCTCCTTAAACTGGCTTCTTCAATCCCTATACATGGTCTTGTGCCCTCCTCTTACTCAAGCCTGCCTCCCTATTAGACATTCCCTATTTTCCTCCATCAAATCCAACACTGATCCTTGCTTTCCTTAAACTCTTTCCTTCCTAAAATTTATTTCATCTAAATTTAAACCTGACAGAAAGGAAACTCCCGGTCTCAATATACCACATGGACTTCTTCTTCCCTCTCTGCATATGACACTCTTGTAGGTGCTACAGAAACACTTCCCAGGACCTTTCAATTCAGGAACAGCACTGGTGACACACCGGCATGAAAGGGACATCACACACACCCAACTGGCACTAAACTGCACGCCATGTGGTTATTTATATCATGTAACACCCTGGCCACCTTCTCCTTCCCTCCCTCCTCCTCCTTCTCTCTCCGTGTTCAATCTGTCGCTGACTCTGGCTGTTCCTTCTCTACAATAATGCCGAGAGCTATGTCTGCTGCTGTGGAGGCGGCCTTCCAACAGCTCACTCCCTAAGGCAGGCCCAGTGCCTCTCCTTACGGGGCCTCCCCCTCCCAACACTCTCCCTTCAGACACGCCAGACTGCCCTGGCAGCTGTCACCCCTTCACCTGCCATCCTGACTGTGTCAGACCCACCCCTGGGAAAATCTCCAGATGTGCCCTGAGCAAAACA